TTTTGAATTATTGTCTCAAGGATCTTACCAGTGATTGACAGGAGGACAGGCGTAGTTGCTGTTTCTGCTCTGCTCTTCTTTTTGTAACAGGGACTACTTTGCCTTTTTCCCCAGGGAGAGGGCCATTTACCTGTATGGGGCAGTGCTGAAAGTGCGGTTGAGGTGCTGCTAGCGGGTCTCACATTTTTCCCAACAATCTTGGGTCAATTTGTCTGGGCCCACACCCTTTTCTTGGTCAAGTGATTTAAGAAGGAAATGCACCTCCCCCTGCCTTATTGTCACCACTGACAGTTTTGCCAGTTCTTGCAGCTAGCCCAAGGAGGGGCCCTTTGGATCAGGAACTTGCTTTTGGTCAAAGTGTTCAGAAAGAGGGGCCTTCTCTTTACTACTAGTAGAGGGGGTCCCATCTGTCGATTTAGAGGTGGAAAAAGTTCATAGGCAGATAACCTTGTCTGTCCTTGACCAGGGGCCACCAGGTTTTGGAGCTACCCTACCCGATGCTAACTTTTTTTTAGTGTCCACCTCCCATTTGTAATTGCCCATTTTTAAAATCACCCTAGCCTACAGGCTTGCATGTGAAGTTCTGTATAGGTGGTAGGATGTCTCTTTACCTTCGCCATGCTTTGTACTTAGCAGTAGCACCTCTCTAAACGAAAGCCCAAAACCCAAAGGGTGATCTGTAGGCTTTGCACATATTTCCGGGGGAGGAAAAGTGTTCTTTTTGCAGTTTGGATGTGCCAGTGAAGGCTTTCACTTGGGTTTAAAACCCCTGGAGAAGAGCATTCCCGCGGTGGTGGCGAGCTCAAGCAAAGGTGGCCAATTACCCCTTTCCCATAGCCAGGTTTTGGGGTGTGGACTCCTCACCTCGTTCTGTTGGGGGTCTTATTGGTAAAAACAGCCTTGTGGTCAACGACCAAGAGCCCAGGGGTTGACAAGTGACATCCTTTTGCCCGATCACTCACATGGGGCAAGGGAGGGGCCAGAGATATGAGTAGGGAAATCAAAAAAGTTTTCATGTCAAACACTGCAAGAAGGTCTCAAGTCCCCCTTATAAGGGCGGTTTAGGGCACCAAACAATTTAATTGTTGACAGTTGTTTTTTAGCAGAAGGGAGTCAATTTTTCCATTTGGAAGTTGATGGGTCTGCATGTTGCCATGGGTCTGACATTGCACAAGTACAGAGGTACTAGTGTTTATACAAGCTTGAAAACATCATTTCAAAAATGTGTAGGGGGGCAACATCATGTGGGCATGAACACTTTTAGAGAAGCACCAGCAAAACCCCTCCTTTCCCTTGCCTTCCTTCTATCCCTGGGTGTAGCCAGCAATTTTTGCAAAAAATTTTTTGGAGTCCCGTCACCAAAATGTTTCAACAACAGCTATCTTTCGGGGGCGTCGAGTGTTCACAAAGCTATGTGTGAGCTCTCCAAATTAGTAATAAACCTCTAAGTTGGCCGACAGGAGCTGATAGACTGGCCCCATGTGAAGTGGCGCTTGAGGTGGTGGGTGTGTAGGGAAAGTAAGGGGCCGCCCTTTTAGAGAGGGAGGGTACTGAGGCACTGCAGGGGGTAGGTCTGTGGTCTTTTATAAAAGGCCCAATCCCACTGATGGGTGGGATAGGGAGCTAAATGGGTGATGTGAGATGTTTACCAATTTGAGATCCTGCTGGTTTTTTCTGAAACAGGTCTCTAAACAGGTGGCCCCTCTTCAAGTTCCTTTTTCTTCCCACACTGGTCCCCCTTTGTCCTTTCTTTAGCAGTGTTACACCTGGTATCTCGCAGGGGTTGTTTTCAGAGTGCCCCTTCCGGTGCAGCGAGAGCCACCTAGGTGCCTGGGAGGGGGGTAGGATTTGTTTGTACCTCCGTGTTTGCAGATTTTCCTCGGATTTTTCCCCTGGAACTGTGTTAGTGGAGGGGGAGAGGGTGTAGATGTTTCTCCACCACGTCCTCCTCCCCGTCCTCTACCCCCCCCCTTACCAGTTTGACAGAGTGTCCCCGTGTTCGTACTTCGGCGTAGCAGGTGATAGGGCATGATAGTTCCCGACAAACGCACCGTTCCTGGTGGAGAAACTCCGGCTCAGAGCTTGCTGTCGAAGCACTACTACCAGATCTAGAAAAAGTATCGGGGAGGTTGCTGACAGGGGTGGATCGGGATGGTTTCACTTTAAATGATGGCAGGGCTGAACAGAGTGTCGGGGTAGGAGAAATTAAAAGATCCAAGGCTTCCCACGTTGCTGGGAAAAGGGTTTGTTCCCCCGTGGTGGTCAGGGAATTGTGTTAGAATTCCCCCAAAGGTAGTGTTTTTAATCTGCAAGTCTGTGGGACCTTAGCGATGACAGAAATTCCACCCGATGTTTACCCCCATTAAGCTCAGGTGGGACTTCCCCGTCTTTGTCAAATTTTTCACCATCGCTGAGCAAATTGCGTCATTGTTTTAGGCTTTCACGGCCTTCTACAATATTGTTGGTTTTCTAATGATTTTGGGGGCTTGAAGTGGTTCCCCGTGTGGTTATCTTTGCTCAACTTTACAACACAGCCAAGAGGGCTCTTGATCTTTTGGCAGGAGTCCCGAGGGAGGACTTCTGAACCTTCCCCCTGTGCTCCAGGGGTTTTATCCACTTACCACAGGGAAAGGATCCCCTTTAAATTTCTGAAATTTTTAACCGGCTGCAAAAAATTTTTCTTCTGGGGTGCAATCTGTGTGGAGTAGTTGGAACAAGTAGGCTCTTTACATCCAAAAATCTTTGTCCCCCTTTTGGTTTTCCCCCAAAAAACTGCGTATTACGGGACAATACCAGATGCGTAGTAATCTTGCTATTTTGCGGTGTGAAGTATCCAGAGGAGGCTTTTAATTTGAAGTTCCAGGAGAGAGAGGGGGGTGGTGATAGTGGGTGGGGGGGGAGTGTGGGTGGGGGGGTGTTTATAGCCGGTGGGGAGTGAGGGGGGGGCGCAGTGGGCCCCTTGCTGGGAATGTTTCCTTCTACTATCACTTTAAACCGTTATGCTGTCCACTTTTCCATAAAGGAAGATTTACACAAAACCCCCCCCGTGTTGCATTGTACCCGCCCCTTGTTTTTAAGCACCGATGTAGTACATGCCCAAAAAAACCACTAAAATTTGACGTCACTCTGAAGGGAAAAGTGAAGCATCCTAAGGCCTGCCGTCCCCTCCACCATGCCTTCAACATACCACACTTAATATCAAGTATTGTTTTATTTACCTCAGTGGAGGAGTTTTGGTTACTTTACAATGGGTTTTTTAAGTAGTACTACGCACTGAACGTTTTTACCTCACCAACCCCGTATTTAAAAATAAAGAAAGTTTGTGGAGCAACGGTGCACGTCTTCCCCCTTTCCTCTCTCCCCCCTTTCCCCCCCCCCTCCCTTTCTCTCTTTCTCTCCTTTCTCCTTTCCTTTTTCTCTCTTTTCCTCTCTTTCTCTCTTTTCTCTTCTTTTTTCTTCTCCTCTCTTTCCCCCTTCTCTTTCTCTCTCTTTCTCTCCTTTCTCTCTCTCTCTCTCCTCCTCTCTCTCTCTCCCCTTTTTTCTCTCTTCTCTCTCTCTCTCTCTCTCTCTCTCCCCCCTTTTTTTTTTACACAGGGTTTTTACAAGGTTAGGATCCCTAGCTTTATTGAAGCTATTTACAGGTTAAAGGATCCAACTTTATTGGCAAAATAAGAGCTGTTACCACATCAGCTCATTTTGAAAGATTTTTATTGTTATGAGACATACAAGTAGGAAACAGGAGAAATTGGGGGCCATCTGTGGCCACCATTTTTATTTGATCAAATGACTTTATCCGTTGAATCATTTTCCGTACGAATGGTTCCATACCGAGTCATCATGGGTATGTATGATCTCAGAGGAGTGATGTTTTGGAGAAGGGGGACAGCCAGAGTGAAGTTGTGCTTTCTGCCCGTCTTGTGGAAAAAAAAGCTGTTTCACGCGTCCTCAAGTGAATCCAAGGGTGGTACTTGACATATTGGCCCTTTAATAAAGTAAGGCCCCCCACACCCTCCTATGTTTTAAGGGTCTGCGAAATGACAAAATCTCTCCAGGTGGGCCAGGCGAGGATGGACATCTTTTCTCTGTTTTTCTACTCTGTCGAGCAGTCGCGATGAGGGGGGGGGGGGAGTCAAACCAAGAAAATGGGGATACTCAAGGGGTGAGCTTACTTGTGCCCCCGTACAGAATCTTGCAAAACCCCCACTTCAAGAAAATGCGAGATATGGGGAAGTGCTGTAAGCTTCCCGGGTGCCCCGTTTGCAAATTTTTCAACAGGGTTTTATGTTTTTTGGGGTCAAATTCCCTCTCTGTTGTCCTCTGTCTGTCTGCTGCCCCCTCCCCTCTCTCTCTCTCTCTCTTTTCTCTCTCTCCTCTCTCCCCCCTTCCTTATTTCACTATTTATTTGTGCCTTGGGGTCTACTACGCAGGTCATAAAAAGCCATAATGATTCAACTAAATTTTTGAAGTGTCACTACGGTGCCCGACAACCTTGCCTTCCCTTAAGTAAGTTAAATTTATTTAGGCCGGTATAATTAGAAAAAATATAATACAATAGGGGCCCACTATGCAGCAGGTTGGTTTCCCGGGGTACTGCCAGAAAAACGAAAGTCCCGGGAAAACAGGGGCCCCTTTGCTTTCCCCTTGGAATAATAAGTATACACTAACATATACAGTGGAACCTCGGCTTACGAGCAAATTTTTCAGGATACGGACCGTCGTTCTGTCAATTTTTTGCTTCTGGATATGAATGAAATATCAGGATGAGAACTTCCCCTTCAAGGGAGGTTCCTTAAATAAATAAATATTTGTTTCCTTGCAAAGGTTATAATGTGTGTTTACATATCATAATTTAATTTAATTTTTATGTACCATTACTTGCTTACTGTTGTAAACTTAAGATTATAGAACTGATAACCAGTGCAATATTATACTGTAAAACTTATGCCATAATAAGAATTATAATCCCTGTATTTTATAATTATTTACTGAATCTAGTATTATATACTTTTGTTTTCTCTTATTTCATTGATTTCTGCTATAACTACCAATACCTGCAGCCTTTTAATTTATTTGTCACTTCCAGTGCTAGCAATTTTTTGTGTTCAGTAAACAACTATTCAAAATCTACAACTTTGTCAAACTCTAAAGCTATAACGGTTCAATATAAATTCATCAGTTCTGTACCATATAAAGAGTAAACTGGAACTCTCTATTGTTTTCATAAAAGCTAGTGTAACACTCCATTAGCTAGTAAGATAAATTAGTTGAGTATCAAAATTATTAAGTTCTACTATATACTTTATTCAAAAATCTAGTTGTAGAGTCACACTCATTCTCATGATTATAAACATTGATCGAGATTTAAACCTTTTATTAAATGACTTACACGAATCAAACAGCAACTGTAATTATTATACAGCAGACCAAGCTAAGACATTACTCAGAGCAAACAATAACATAACTATCTTTAATTACAATGTCAGATCCTTGAGCAGACATGATGACCTCACAGCATTACTCAATTCCCTTAATTCCAGTATGTCAGTCATCACACTCACAGAAACCTGGCTAAAGCCTGGCACTATAGATGTCTATGCAATTCCTGGATACACAGCCATACACAACTGTAGGACAGACGAGCAAGGGGGTGGAACAGCTATATGCTACTCAAATCAGCTTGAATGTATCAACAATTCTTGCACAAGGGATGAGCACAGTGAATATATTATAGCTAAATTTAAATCAAAAGACCTACAAAAAACCCTCACAGTCATAAACATCTCCAGAGTACCACAGTCAAACATTTACCACTTTAGTGAAAAATTAAGGAATTTGATATCTGATGCACTTATGAACAAAGACCGCCTGCTACTATCAGGAGATTTCAACATAAATCTACTACATGACCAGGACCCACAATTAACCGAATTCACAAACTCTGAGCAACTGCTTGTTGCTACCAACAATATCAAAACCTACAAGAATCTCCCAGACTAGTATCTCTTTATTGGACCACATCTGGACTAACACCATATCCCCTTTAAAATCAGGCATAATTACAGACAACACCACAGACCACTACCCTACCTTTCTCAGACTACATAACGAGACAGCTGTAAATAACTTTATAGCAGCTGTGAATACGTCGACTGGTATAATGAGCTTGAAACATATGCAGATACGAATGAATGTATTCATAATTTTATAAAAAGAACCCACTATCTTTATAACAAGTATTGACCTAAGAAGCTCACAGCTAAGAGACTGAATAGTCCCTGGCTAACACCCACCATCCTCAAATCCATTAACACAAAGCACTAATATGAAAAATAGTACAGAATGGGTCAAATAACTAGAGACCAGTCTAAACGTTACCCGTCAGCCCTTACCAGCCTGATAAGAAGGCCAAAAATAATTGTATTATGAGAACAGATTACAAAACATCAAAGGTGATATGAAAAAGACCTGGAAAACCCTATCTGAAATTCTAGGAACTAAAAGGATATCCAAAAACAAAATCAAATCAACAAAATCAGATGAACCCCTACTCACACCTACTGAAACAGCAAACAGACTCAGTGTTTTCTTCTCCACCATAGGAAAGACTCTAGCAAGCAAAATACCAAGCTCAAACACCCGTCCATCAGACTATCTCATGGGCACCTACACAGATACACTATTCCTAGCTCCAACCACCCCAACACAGGTCTTGCTCATCATCAACACCCTTAAAAACAAGGTAGGAGACATAGACAACTTGCCAACTTTCATGTACAAAAATGCTTCATAAGTACTGTCAAAAATGCTTCATAAGTACTGTCACCAATTATTGCAACACACTTTAACAAATCCATTGAATCCTCCACCTTCCCAGCATTTCTCAAAGTAGCGAGGGTTACCCCAATCCACAAAGGACGTGATCAAGCCAACTTGTATAACTATAGACCAATTTCTAACTTACCACTACTCTCTAAAATCTTTGAAAAATTAATTCATAGACAGATCTATTCCTACCTCATCTCAAACAACATACTAAACCCCTGTCAGTTTGGATTCAGGAATAATAAAAGCACAAATGATCCTATTATACACATGCTGGAAGTAATATATACTGCTCTCGAGAACCTCCTAAACCCAATCTTAACACCCTAGGATTTGACCCCTTCAGGGCATTTCTGGGTGACGATGAAATTGTGTCATTGGAAAATCTACCTTCCACTGCAATTGATGATGCAATCAGGTCCCTGCATAATCGAATAATTGAAGCTACTAATGCAACTTGTCAATTAGCTTTCACAAAATATTTCCAACAAAAATAAACCACTAGGGAAAATTTGGACAATTTTTAAAAAATTATCAAGCAGAATGTCGAAGGGATCTTTAGGAAAGCGGAAAAACCCAGTAGCTACCTGCCCGATTAAAGGCAAGAATTAAAAAAACTTTATTAGTCTTTACCCCAAAAGGGATTATGGGAAAAATTTTAGTTCTTCCAAACTAATCAGTTTTAAACGTTTTAACCCGCAAAATTTTTTGGGGGGGAAGTTTGGGGCAATTTTTTGGGGCGGGACAAAGGGTCCCAACTCCTAGTTCATTTCCTTCACTGATGAGGGGTGATTTAAATTTAAACCCTTTAAGATCCACAGGAACCCGGGTTTAAATTTTATGGGGTGATGTTTTGGGGAAAATTTTTCTCCCCCCACTAAAAAAGTCGTCAAATTTTTAAAAATTTAAACATTATCAGTTGGTTAAAAGAATGGAGAGATGAGAACTTGGATGATCTCCCCCACTGCCTTCCATCGATCTTCAAATCTTTGAAGATACCCACCCATTACTAGACCTATTACATTACTTGAGATGAGTGAGGTTTTGGAAGAATGCGAAAATAGAGCCCTGGCTCTCTGGAATAACAATGAAACAAATAAAGTTCCTACCCAGAATTGTAAACAGACTTTGGTAAATATCTTTAATGCCATCTTGGCTCAGGACATTTTCCAGTGGTTTTTAAGACTGCTAGGATGATCTTTCTTGGTAAGAGCCCAATAAAGACATCCACCAACCTGGGAACTATAGACTATATCTTTACTTGAAGTCACTGGAAAAAGTTCTTGAGAAGGTCATTTCCAACAGATTGAACTACTATATGGAGTTTTAATCACTTTTTTACTGAAAAACAATTTGGCTTTAGAACACATAGAGGTACCAATCATGCAAAAAATGTTATTTTCGATACTGTAGCAAGTCTAAAACATCAGGGCAATCTTGCCTTAATTGCCACCAGAGATGTTCATAAAGCTTTTGATAGCTTATGGCATGATGGCCTTATATACAAACTCATTGACCTACCAGACCATAACTGGACTTTTCTCAGAGTAATATATAATTTCTTAACTCAAAGAAAAACCATTCCCACCTTTAATGGCAGGTCGCAGAGCGCCTTTTATACCGACAGCTGGTGTCCCACAAGGTTCTTGTCTCAGTCCACTTCTGTTCAACATTTATGTGAATGACCTTCCTCAACCAGAGTTTAATGATACATTGTGACACAGTTTGCAGATGATGTTATTCATGTCGTCTCATTAACTCGGTAACAGGAAAATACAAGTATGAGAGATCATAGAAAAAATGAATATTGAACTTCGCCGAACATCTAATTGGGAAAAGAAATGGAGAATTACGACTAATCCTGACAAGGTCCTTGTTAGCACGATAGGATGTTTTGCTTCAATCAATGAAGATAAAGGGGGTATCTCCATCAGAGGTACACCTGTAGCCATAGAAACCTAACAAGATTTTGGGATATGAAATAGACAGGCTGCTCACTCAACGTCTCATGTAACTAAAAAGATCAACATAGCAAAGCCGGTCTTAGCAGTCTCTTTTGATTCAATCAAGCCCTCAACATGTCAGAAAAACATCGTAAAAATGTTAATATGACTATACTCGAATACCCTTGTGTCCCAATGTCATTAACAACAAAGACCAATATTGCTACGGTTACAAAGGGTCCAGAATAGAGTCTTCGCTTCATTACCGATACCAGGAGGAGAGACAGAGTATAAAATGGCAGATTTACACATACAACAAGATATTACTGCCATAAATGTACGCCTTGACACCCTAAAAAAGAAACAACTCTATACAATGCAAGAACTATACATGCCAGATAGAGAACATCCTATACAAGTGTAATACACGGATTATATCATCAATACTCCTCTCACAGGACTCAAAGAATGACTCTCCCACAGAGGGTCCGTCGTTTTATACATAAAGATGATTACCATCGACCCATGATATTGAGCAACCTCCCTAATGAAGAAGGTTGGGTAACACCAGAACCCTTCTATGTATACTGAGAACATCATCGCCCCCAATTAGGGAGAAATCTTTTATAACAATCTAATGTAAAAATTATGCTATTTACTATGGCTGGACACCACCTGTAAGAAGCCATTGTCACGTAATTCTATAAACTGGCCAGAAAATTATTGCCTTCATTGTCGCATAAATATCCGTTGTGCAATCGCAAAAAAAAAAAAAAAAAAAAAAAAAAAAAAAAAGCAATTGCAACTTGTATAATTACTACCAATTCAGAGTCATGTACTTATATATCTGTTATATCTATGTGACTCTGATGGGTTAGTCTTATACCCCTTAAAGAATATCTTATCATTTCATGTACACTTTTTAAATTACACCAAAGTGGTTGGGCCACTTACCTTTTATATCCTACCTCTCTCCCCCCTCCCACCCTTTTCCAAAATTTCTATCCTTACCCATCCTTCTTCCTTACCCATCTCACCAAAGCTCTGGTCTGGACAAGAACAAGAACTGCTTTTCGAGAAGAAAGAAGTCCCACTGGGAATTTTCATTAACTTACATAAAGCTTTTGATACAGTCGACCATGAATTGCTGCACACTAAATTAGCGCACTGTGGTATAAGAGGTCACTCCCTCAACTACCTAATGACATACCATAGTAACAGAAGTCAATACGTGTACGCAAATGGTGCAAACTCTTCCACACAACCAATCACAGTAGGAGTCCCACAGGGAAATGTCCTTGGACCACTCCTCTTTCTCATCTACATCAATGACCTACCAAATGCATCACAGCTACTCAAACCCGTATTATTTGCAGATGACACTACATACGTCTTCTTCCACCCAAACCCAGTCATACTCGCCAACACTGTCAATGCTGAATTGCAGAAAATATCTACCTGGATGATGACTGATAAACTTACCCTAAATACTGACAAAACTATTTCATTCAGTTTGGAACCAGAGCTGCAAATGTTCCACTTAACCCTTAAACTGTCCAAACGTAGATTTATGTTTGCTCGCATGGCGCTCCAAACGTAGATCTAAATTTTTTTTATATTGTTTCTTATGGAGAAAATCAAGGTCAGAGTGCTACGCGCTCAAACGTTGATCTACATTTAGACAGTTTAACCCTTTCAGGGTTGGCGCCATACCAGTACGGCTTGCACGCCAGGGTTAGTGCCGTACTAGTATGCATAAATTCTAGCACCTTCAAATCTAGCAAGAGAAAGCTGGTAGGCCTACATATGAAAGAATGGGTCTATGTGGACAGTGTGTGCAGTATAAAAAAAATCCTGCAGCGCACAGTGCATAGTGAGAAAAAAATCTCCGACCGTGTTTTTGGTTTAAAACAGCGACTTTGCAGTGTAATTTTGTATGCTATTTATGATTGTATTCTAGTTTTCCTGGTCTCGTTTTATAGAATGGAAGACATATTACGGAAATTGAGATGATTTTTATTGGTTTCACTATAAAAAGTACCTTGAAATTGAGCTCAAAGTAGCAGAAATGTTCGATTTTTACCAAAGTTCAAAAGTAAATAAATCAAGCCATGCGTCCAGTACACATCAACTGGTGAGTCTAATATTCTTTCACAAGTGTGCTGATATTATTTATACCATTTCTACACTAATGCAGTAGTCTGCATAACAGTAAATCTTCTACTTTTTTTGTGAGAATAAAAATTCAAAGTGGAAAGCAAAAGAAATGTAACAGAGGCCTGGGCACATGACTTATGAACAGAGGAAATGTTATTTTAGTGTCAGGAATGTCTGTCTTGTTTATTCTGGACCCTATTTGGAAATTGGCATCTTTTGACCACTTTATTGGATAGTTGAAATCGGTAAATGGGTGATTTCTTGTACTCATTCGATAGAAAAAGTGGAATTCTAGTGAAATGGTTATGATTTTTGTCGTCTGGTACATTGGAATTGGCCGAAAATAGGGCTCAAAGTGGGTGAAGTTGCCAGTGTGTAAACATCATCAAAACCGCTAACTTTGCGAGAGCATGATTCCGTAAGTTTTCCATAAAATTTCACACTTTTGGTATCATTATGATCGGGAAAAAAATCTCTATCATTTCATAAGATTTTTTTTTTTTTTTTTTTTTTTCAACCTTGAGAACAAGTTTAACCCTTTCAGGGTCCGTCCCGTAGATCTACGGCTTTATGGTGAGTGTCCAAACCGTAGATCTACGCCATGAGCTCAGCTCACTCTGATAAACTGTGAGTGGTACATTTGGGCCTAGATATGAGAGAATACATCTATGTGGTATGTGTGCACCACATAAAACAGATCCTGCAGCACACTGTGTATAATGAGAGAAAAAAAACTGAGACCGTGATTTTCGATTAAAACAGCGACTTTGCAGTGTTTTTTCGTATGTTTTTTATAGTTGTATTTGTGATTTCTTAG